ACGTGTCATTTTTCTCTATAGCCTTAATCTCTTCATCCATGGCATCTCTCCATCTTTTATTTTGCACCGCTTCTTCATACCCTATTGGTTCACAATCGACAAAAAGACAAAAAAGTGTGAGATCATTTTGATTTTCGGTTACCTCATATAGCTCTTGTAGGCTCCTCATCCGTGGTGTCCTTTCGCTTGAACTTTCTCCTTGTGAAGATGATGGAGAAGCATTTTCATGAGTAGGTGATAGAGGTGGACTGATAATCTCTTGCTGCTCTCCATTCTTTTGTTTTTCTTCATCAAGGAATGGTAAGAAGTCATAGTCTTCTTCTTGGACACCCCAATCCCAAGCTTCTTCTTCATCAAACTCGACATCTCTACTTATGGTGATCTTCTCATTGCTTGGATTATACAACTTGTAGCCTTTAGAGTGAGAGTCATAGCCGATGAAGACATACCTTTCACTTTTGTCATCTAACTTGGACCGTTTTTGATCTGGTACATGAGCATATGTAATGCTCCCAAATACTCGTAAGTGAGAGATGATGGGTTTTCTTCCACTCCATGCTTCTTGTGGTGTCTTATTCCACACACTTCTAAAAGGTGATCGGTTAGACAGATACACGGCGCAATTAACAGTTTCAACCCAAAGTTCTTTGGGCAATCTCTTACTTTTGAGTATGCAGCGGGTCATGTTAAGAATGGATCTATTCTTTCTTTCTGCTACTCCATTTTGTTGTGGAGAGTATGGAACCGTCACTGGACGACGAATTCCATTCTCCTCACAATATTTCTCAAACTTTTTGGAGGTGAACTCTCCTTCTCTATCCGATTTCAAGGCTTTTATACTATATTCGCTTTCTTTTTCAACAAGAGTTTTAAACTTCTTAAAAGTTTCAAAAACTTCCAATTTTTGTTTAAGAAAATAGACCCAAGTCTTTCTACTGAAATCATCAATAAAAAGAACAAAATAATTGCTCTTACTGAGAGAGCTTGGGTTAATTGGCCCACAAACATCGGAGTGTACAAGTTCTAGCTGCTTCTTAGCTCTTGTAGATGCTTCTTTTGGAAAACTTTTTCTCGAATGCTTTCCAAATAAGCATCCTTCACATAATTGATCCGCATGATTTATTGGAGGCAAACCTTTCACCATTTTCTTCTTACTTAACAACTTTAAGCCTCCAAAATTAAGATGCCCAAATCTCAAGTGCCAAAATCAAGATGAATCTTTGAAACAAGCTTTTAAGCATTTAGCGACATCATTTTGAATGCTTAACGCAAACATTCTATTTCTTGTCATAGGGACTTTGGCAATCAAATTTTCTCTTTGATCTCTTATTGAAAGACTATGATCCTTCAAATAAATATCATAGCCCTTCTCTAAGAGTTGTCTCAAACTTAAAATATTATTTTTCATATTGGGCACATAATAGACATTTGAGATAAACTGATGCGTACCATTTTTTAAGCTGATCAAGATTTTACCTTTTCCTTTCACTGGGATCTTGGATTCATCTCCAAAGATAATGTTACCGCTTACTGATTCATCAAACTCCATAAACATGTTTTTCTTCCACACATATGATTGCTTGCTCCTGTATCCAAATACCAAGTATTATTTTCTCTGCTCTCTTCACCTTTGTAAGCCAATAGTAGTGCAGGATCTACTTCACTTTCCCGACAAGCGTAGTTGGCTTTCTCCTCAACTTGGTTAGTAATATTTCTATATTCTGAAGCATAATGACCAAGTTTTTGACAATTGTAACATTTAATTTGAGATTTGTCATACCTTGGTTCTTCATTTTTCCTCGTACCTTTTTCTCTTCCGCGACCTCTAGTAGAAAACGATCTTTGTCTTCTTTCCTCCTTGTAGAATGCAATTCTTCCTCGATCTTGGCCTCGTCCTCTTCCTCTTTGGCTTCTTCTACTATTGAACCTTCCTTCACCCTCGTTCAAAGTGAGCTTTGTTTGAAAAGCTTGCTCTAATGGCTCTTCTTTCACTTTCTTCCTTAGTCTTTCCTCATGGCTTGTAAAGATCCCATGAGTTGATCGACGCTCATACTATCTAGATCTTTAGATTCTCAATGGCTACAACTATATAGTCAAATTTAGAATCTAAAGACCTAAGTATCTTCTCAATTACTCGAGTGTCGTTCAACTTTTCTCCATTCCTTTTTAATTGATTCACAATAGCTAATACTCTAGAGAAGTAATCAGAAATTGATTCCGATTCTTTCATATGTAAAGCTTCAAACTCACCTCGAAGTGTTTGAAGTCAAACCTTTTTCACCTTCTCAACTCCTTTGTGGGAGTTTTGCAAGATCTCCCATGCTTCCTTACTTGTAGTAGCACAAGCTACTTTCTCGAACATGCCTTCATCTAAGGCTTGATAGATGAGGGTGAGCGTCTTCTTGTCCTTCTTCCTTGCATCCTTCAAACTATCCCTTTGTGCTTGGGATAGAGCAACCTCGTCTTGTGGCTCCGTGTAGTCTTTTTCTACGATCTCCTATGCATCTTGCGACCCGAGCAATGCTTTCATCCTTATACTCCAATTGTCGTAGTTATCCTTGTTGAGTTGGGGGACTTGAAAAGGAATCATCCCACTTGCCATTTTTCACAAGAACCTTGGGGTTCCGATACCAGTTTGTTGGATGAAAGATGGGTTTACTAACTTGGATTGACTAAGGCTTTTAAGAGGACAATACTAATAGGAAGAAGGAAGTGAAAAAAGGAAACTTGTATTTCTCAAATTCAAAACTTTACACACTTTTTGGCTTGTTACAAAATGGAGGGCACTACCCCTTTATATAGTGTTTACAAGAATATTCTAGTCCACACATTTTCTAGAGACATCTAGACCACATATCAAGATATTTTCCTAGAATTCTCTAGATATTCTTTATAAAACTACATATCTTACTTAGATATTTATATAGATTTTCTAGTAGATATTTATATAGATTTTTTTAGATAATGCTTCTAGAAATGCTATGCATGTTGGGCCTATAAGCAAAATCCTTAAACCCATATTATTTAGTCCAAAAATCAAGTTTACTACTCAACATTTTAAACATAAAATACAATAATATTAAAAATTACAACTGTATTAAATATGAAAACATTCTCAACTTTTAGTGAGATTAATGACCCTACCAGCCACCACTTCCCTCCATCATTGACCAAGAAATATATAATACGTAACGAAAATGGAATCAAGTAATCAATACATAATTTTTAGTGGTTCATTTTCAATGCTAGAATTTCGTTCTTTCCGCTCTAGGATTTCATTATATCGAAGATGAGGATAATAATCTATGTACATTTATCACATCTCGTTGTTTGTCTTGTCTCGCTTTATACCAAAGAGATTCACCCTAATATATATCTTTTATATAGGGCCTAATACTTGCGCAAATAACAAAATCTACTCTTATTATCATTAGAACGATTAGCGGTTGAAAAAAAGGGGTATAATTAGGTTCCACGCATTCAACACATTTTGAAAACTATAATGGCAATTCCATACATAGATACTATCATAACCATTAGGCCAAGTTAATTGGCATCATACTGGGATATTTCCCTATATATGTTACATGGGCTGCTAATTAAATCAGGATTTAAAGTGCGTTATGCTACGTCCTCGAGTACTCAACATATATCCTTTTCTTTTATTGCGTTTTACAGCATGGATAAAATTAGTACAACAAATGTGGAATGATGTCGATAATTAAAAAATCAATTAGCATAACCAACAATATTTTAATCAACTAATAAAGTTTCTTAGTTTGACCTAAAACTTACCAAAAGCAGAATTTTTGCAAATTTTCTACTCTCTTTTCTTATATAAAAAATTTAGATAAACATTAATACAAATTGTTAAGAGAAGATCTTGTTAATTAAATTTGGAGGTCAATGAAGAATATATATTTGATATGATAGAAAGTTGAATAATGTTATGTAGCCTAACTAAGGTTGCAACTTTAGTCGGAATGGCGCTAAATGATAGACAAAATGAAAGATAAAATTAAATGGGTCATTTAATTTTATTTATCGTTTAATGCCATATCAACACCATTTAGATTGGGATTGCAATCCCTATGAGGCTAAATAGCATTACTTTAGAATGTTATAGCAGTTAGCCATTAGTTTTTAAAACGAGCAATAGGATTTCAACATTTGTGTTCTCAAACAAGTCATCATTTTGTTAAAGATAAATACACATGTATTAAACATTGAAACTTAATAATCGAATAAGTGCTTGAGTTAGTTATGATAGATGTTTTAAGACACAACCCTAAGTCTCAATACAAACTAACCTATGTACAGTTTAAAAAAAAAAATTAAATAAAATAGGTTAATAAGAATTAATGGTTAAAAAAATTCATTGATGGAAAATACATGTTGGAATTTGTTGAGATAGTCCCACATCAGCTGTGAATGAGGTTGGTATTTAGTTTATAATTGTAGGAAAAACATCACCCCTTGAGCTAGCTTTTAGAGTGAGAGAGGTCTAGTACCATCTAATACTGGTATCAGAGCCCGATTTATCAGTAAGTCTCTAGCCCAATAGTTGTAGAGATACGGGTTTGTGTGAGAAGGAGACGAGTTTGGTCTCCCGTAGGCCTCTTTGTGTGAGGGAGAGACGTGTTTGGTTTCCCGCAAAACTCGATGTGTGAGGGGGAGATTGTTGAGGTTGTTTCATATCAGTTGTCAATGGAGTTGGTATTCAGTTTATAAGTGTGAGGAAAAGTCTCACCTCTTCAATTAGATTTTGAGGGTGAGAGAGGCTTAATACCACCTAATAGAATTGCACGAAGACTATCAAAGAGGAAATACGTGTACAACTCACCTCAACATAGATATACGATCACATACAAGAAATTCTTCTTCATTGAATTCCTATCTTTTAGGTTGCCCTTGGATATCTTATAAAATAATTTAAGAAAAAAAGTAATGAAGAAAATTATTAATCCATACTCCATAGTGATTAATTCCTCCATGAGAGAGAGAGAGAAATTTATAGTTCTCTTTTAATCATTCACAACCAATATATTCATGAAAATATGTATAAATATATCGCAAAATAGCAGTAACATTGATGATGAAATCCTTTTTCCTTTATAGTCACTTCATTTATTAAATAAGCAAATTCCAATATCAGAATCTGAAGTTGAAGTTGAACTCAAAAGCTGATTTAAGTTTTCTCCTTCTTCTCTACCACTTTGCAATAGAAGCAATCCCAAATCTGAATCATTATTAAGAGCTTCAAAGCTCGAAACATTATCACCTTCATATCTATCTCCGTGGCTCAGCTGAGAAGCAACAAACTTATCAAGATCCCTCCAATCTGCAGTTATCTTTTTCGAATTGCATTCGACTCTAGTCTTTTCATCGTCGTCATTGATATAGTTTTCTGTTAGTGTGGATACCAAACTTGGTTTTTTCATCGTTGGCAAGGACGGACTTTCAAGCTGTGGAAGTTGAACGAATTGATGATGATCAGCTGATGAATGGACAAAATTCTTTTGTGCTTCTATTTCTTGCTTGCACATGAAATTCTGGGCTGGAAAGTGTGAGGGCTTTCTTGTCATGTAATCAATAGGATCCACAACTGAGATTGCACCAATTGGTTCTTCATAATAGTAGGTTGAGTCCCACCCTTCAATGCTCTTTGTTTGTCCAGTGTTTCGCTTTCTGAATGCTCGGCATACCACCCATCCTTCTTCCTGCAAGATCAAACAAAACTCGTTCATCAAAGGTTAACGTGTGCACAATTTCTATAAATAGAATGTGTCAAAACTTGAACTCAGAAGCGTCTTCATGCTATGTTGAACCACCTCATTTATAAGGTTAAACCGTTAAAAATAATAATATTTAAATTATGTCCTTACGGTGCTGAAGCTAGTAGACAAATTAATAACTCCACAAACTTGGAGTTGATTTTTAAACATATTTGCTTATTTGGCTTCGACAAATTTTCACTTTTTCTTTATCTTTCTGTCTGGTCAAGGAAAGAAGAGTGTGATCAAAGGTGTTTCTTTAATTTTGACCAGTTGAAACAGTGAAAAACCACATCCCAGAAAAGTGATTCCGAGTAGAACGCGTCCATTTGCAAACAAAGTAAAATGACTTTTTGACTTTAGAGGGAAATTATCATGCATATATGCTGCATGTAATTAAAGGAACATGCAATGGCAAGTGTCACGTACCTCTCACAGTTGGGAAAATGGACCATGACTAAATGATGACTTCTTAAACATTATTCTTCAAGTGGACTTACTGTTTTAAAAGAAATTTTCGTCGGTGTTTAGATGAAATGTGTAAAGTATTAAGATTATCCAGACACATACTCCGTGAAATGGCCGTGTTCAATTGTATTGCGAGTACTGGAAATAATGCAAAATAAAGATGTTTCGAGAGAAAGGGGTTGTGGCTTTCTGTTTAGCCCCACAGTTCAAGAATATGTAGGATAAAGCTAGATGCAGAATTAATATATAGTTAAATGCGACTGAAGAAACTTGCCTGTGAAGGACCATTTTCTTCTGATTCAAGCCTGTATTCATGCATGATCCAGTCACTTTTCTGGCCATTTGGAGCCCGCCCTTTGTAGAATACGAGGGTTTTCCTCATACCAATAAGTTTTGTTTTGTCATAAACTGCCTTGTCTCTTCCTGTAGCTTTCCAAAACCCTGCTATGGTTGCTCTGTTTGTCCTTGTCCCAGTTGGGTACTTCTTATCTTTGTGGCTGAAGAAATACCACTCGTTCTGCTCTTCATATCCGATCCGGCATTTGTCTGTCCATTACAATTTTTATCATACATTAAAAAAAAAAAAAATGGAAAGGAGCAATATTTACGCAACTACATATGTACTAGGATGTTTTTTAATTTTATACCATAAGTTGGAGCAGCTCCATCAGATTAGATTTCAGAAAGCTTAAAATTTTAAAAGGGTCGATATAGAAATTCACAATTTATAAAGTTTTCAACACCCTCTTCAGTTGAAGACGATCTTCAAGGAAATAGGAAATTATACGTTCAAGCATCTAGCTTTCGGACTATAATTAATAAGTTTACTTGGCTATGTTCATCATCTGATGATCTCTTGTTTGGGAAAATAATCTCCTACTCTCCTATTCAAGAACACATCAACAATAAATAACCCTACCTTGAAGATCCCATGGTTCAATTCTGTATAGATCAATATCTCTGATGACTTCTAGATCGATCTTCTGTGATGCAACCTTCTTCCTCAGATAGTACCCCACGAGCTCTTCATCAGTTGGATGAAATCGAAATCCAGGTGGAACACAAGATTCCATGGCGTCTAGAAGTAAATCAAGCCTGTTTATGTATATATATGCTTAGATCTGCATCAAATTCACAACCAATAAGGTCAACACCACTTAACTTCTTTTACTCTCCATCATCTCTAAATCATGACCATTCTTGTGTCAAGATAAAGAGCAAAAATTTATACAGGCCAGAATGTATATTACCATAAGAAAAAAGTTAAAAAGTGAAGAAGAAAACAATTATGAACCCTACATGTCAAAAGTTGACAAGTGTTATCAGATATAATCATCAACTCATTTGGTGGTAAGCAACACTTGACATTTTATCTCTGAAAGGTAATGAGCGCGTGTTTAATTAAAGGAAAAAATATTTAAGAAAAACAAAACTTTTTCCCTAGCTTTTTAATGATTTTTGTGTGTTTTGTGTTGTTAATTACAAGTAGAAACAGAAAAGGAAAACCAAATGATGAGGCATTGCTCCTTGTGAAAATCAAAAGGGTAATTAGAGATAGAAACGGACAAGTAATGATGTTGTCTTGTGCTGGTGAATGTGGAAATGACACTAGATTAACATATTTTATAATTAGTCGAATTAATATAAACTATACGCATATGCTGGTCCCAAGAAATGAAAAAACAATAGGGAAAAAGAAAAACACATCAATTTTGTAATACATTTCAGTAGTTTTTTCTTACACTTGTTTGCTGTAAGAGTGTTGAGTTCAGTGCTAAATGGACAAGGTGGATGACGTTATCTGTATTTAGCACGCGTTTGTATATATCTATATCTATATCTATATCATATAATGAAAAGGTTGATAGACAAAAAGAAGTGCAGCCTGCAGAAAGGGAATGTTTGGAAAGGAAAAAAGAGAACACTTTGAAAGGAATTTGCAGGCTCATGTATCCATTTAAGAGATGAACTCCGACCCTCTTGTCTTCTTGTCTGTAACAAACATGGCAAATTCTGATTATTTTCTTCTATGGGCACATAGATATTATAAGTTAGTATACCATTTTGAAAGCCAGAATAAGCATGTTGAAGATGATAGGGATTTACGGGAAAATCCTATCCTCTTTGCACTGAAATCATCAAATCATCACCATGGTGAGGGTTTTTTTCCCCTTGTTTTAATCAGTTTTGTGGAGAATCGGACATGCAAAAACATCGTATATAGATTTTTCTTTGCCTTACATTGTTGTCTTCCAAGGTAGGGTGGGAGAGGGTGTGAAAATTTTGCAAATCCACGATCTTCATAAACCAAATGAATCAAATAACCTGTTTCATGTGTAAGTAGAACCAACTGAAATGTCAAAAGAATAATCTTGGAGTAAGCCCGGGACTAACACACGCACACACGCACGTATGTGGAGGGAGGGAGGGAGAGGGGGGGGGGAGAGAGAGAGAGAGAGAATGGTTTTCAAGGAAGATAATAATGGTGAAGGAAGAGTTCTCGGGGTAGAGTTTTGCTATACTCCATGATCAATCTTTAATGAGCAGAAGGCGATCAAGAATTTCAAATGTCCAGTGCATCAAAATCCATATATGATTTTTCAGGTAGATGAAACATGACTATAAATTCAGAGGCTCACCTGTAGCAACTAGCAAATATTCTTGGTTGTCATTTGATGGTAATAGTACAAAACAATTCCAAAGACAAGAAAAACCGAAAAGAAGAGAGAGCCAAGGTGTTTAGGAGTAAAGGAAGTGAATATTAAAAGGAAGGAAGGAAGAGAAGAGAAGAGAGGAGAGGACCACTCAATTGCGCATGGGTTTTATGGTTGTCCTCATTGCTGACGTCAGTGCGTAGCTTGCTACAGACGCCCTTATGCCCCTGTTTGTCATCTATCATTTGAAAAATTAAAGAGTTTTAAATAGTATTTTTTGAAAAATGTGTGTTTAAAAAGTAAAGAAACTTTATTGATATGTGTATAATATTTTATTGTTTGAATATATGATGGAGAATGATGCTATAACAAATTATTTAAAACTTTAAAGTGTGACAAATAGGCTCATATTATCTCCTTCAATTTTTAATTACTTCAAGCGGTGAAGTGAAGCAGATTCATATATCATACGCCCCATGCCCTCCCCCCACTCCGCCGCGCTGGTTTAAATTTTTAGTTATTTCAAGCAGTGAAGTCAAGGAGAATCATATTTCAAACACCTGCCCGCTCATTTAGCCCATGTTTGATCATCATTATTTAAATTAAGGACACTCATTTTTTTCACGTACTCATTTTCAATTATATATTCACTCAATAAAATATTCATCATATAAACTCAAGATTTTTTCATATTTTTTAATCACATTTTCCTAAAAGTTACTGTTCAAAATATTATTTTTCCCAAATAATTGTTGTCAAATAGGCTTCGAGTTTGCTTGAATTTCTCTAAACAAACCAAACAATACAATCCAGTTAAATTTTTTAATCATTTAATTTGATGGAAATAGTAAGTGATTGAAATTAGAAACGCAAAGTAATAACATCTTCAATGAATTCCATGAATTGCTATTTAAGTGAAAATTATATTAAAAGACTTCTAGCATCGTGACAATAATGTCTATTGAATAGACATTCAAGTTTGTTGAACTTGAAATTTAACAAGATATGTGGTCAACAGATCTCGATTGAAGGTAAAATACCAAGCAATAAACAGTTGATGTATAAAGTTGCATTACATTTTGGAAGACACTAAGCCCTTGTTTGGTTTGTATTAAAATCAATTTAAAATCTTAAGTCAATGTGGACAATTAATTTTAATCAAATATTTCATTGGATCCAAAACTTTTCAATCACACATTTCATCAATTTTATCAAAATCTAATGAAAAAAATATTTTTCGTTTACACTTAATAGAAGCTAAATGTGAGCTTTATATATAGTCAAGAGAAGAGGTGATGTTCATTGGATGTTGACACGTTCCCTCATCCTAATGACTTACGAGTTAGACCTGACAGGTGTTAATCTCATCTACCTAGGTTTGTGGTGACCTTAAATGAACAGAAAAATAGCTGCCCTACTGATGAGTTTGTTTCATTCACGAATTTTGCATAATTTTAGCTTAATTATTTGTTAGCTATTGTGAGTATAGAACGTTTTTAGTGTGTTTGTTAGTGTCGTTTTGAAAATTAGAAAAATTCGATGCAAAAAGAGAAAGGCGGACGAAGAGGCCAAAAATAAAGAAATTGGGGCAAAAAGGTAGCACCCAAGCACTACGAAACATAAAAAAACTGAAAATTGAACCAGAGAGGCAACGTCCAAGTGCTGCAATCATAACGCCCAGGTGTTGCCATCAGCACCTGGCATTACCTGAATTTGTTCGCGGCGCTTAGGCACTGACTCCTAGCGCTTAGGCGTTGCGCCAGGATTGTATAGGACGCATTTTGGCCCATTTTGAAATTCATAAAAACCCTACTTTTTATACAAACGGAGGGGCACCTATAAATATAATTTTCTCACACTTTTGAAGGATTTATTCACACATTGAACGACAAGGGAACATAATTGCAGAATCAAAATAGGAATTCAAAGGAGGAAAACATCAAGCAATTAAAGATTTAACGCATTGATTGAATGAGGAAGGAGATTTTGGTGCTAGCATTCTATTTTTCTTCTACATCTTTACTACAAATTCGATGGTGTATTTTAAAATAATTGATCATTTCTCTTCTTTCATTATGAATAGTTAAAATCATTGTTATGATGAATAATGTAACAAATTGAGATCCTTTATATTTTCTTATTAAGATTCTTGATTTTTACTGTTTCATGTGTTGATTTTATATAAATTGAATGCATTAAATTACTTGATCAATGATTTGATGATTTTCGTGGATCATTTACGAATAAAGTTATGAGTTTAAGATTTAGACCATATAGTAAAATCCAATAAAATGGTATAAACGAGTAGAGATGCCTATACTAATTGTTGCGGTCAAACTTGAATTCCTAGGACAAAGAATTCATTTAACTAAGTTAAATTTGCATAGAGAGATAGAATTTAATTAGTTGAATAGGCTCAATGAAAACTCAAGAGGAATAAATTAAATACAATAGAAGAATTCGACCGAATACTACATTAGATGTAAATCTTAATTTGCAATGTAAAGGCGATAAATATGTGAAGTTATTTTGTCTTAACGTCCATTCATTATTTGATTTTTCAACCAATTGTGTGTGCATTCATTTATTTTTTAGAATTTAGATTAAAACTCAAATCCTACAACTTTTTATTTGTTTTCATCAACTAGTAGTTAAAAGAAAATTGAATTAAGTACTAGAATATAGTTCTTGTGGGATCGACAGCTCTTAGGCTCACTATTACTTGTTACGGTCCATACACTTGCGGAAATAAAATTGACAACACCTACATTGTAGGCTTGCTACTTGAAAAGTCAACAAAAAGTGCCTCTATATAGTTATAAAATCCGTCAGACCTACAAAGCCCCCAGTTAATGGGGAATAAAATTAAATTTTTAGTAGATTTTGATAGAAATGGATGAAATGTGTGGTTGAAAAGTTGTGAGACCAATAAAATATGTGGTTAAAATTAATTATTAACTTAGACTTAGATTAAAATCTAGATTTTAGTTTTTACCAAAAATGGTGATATTTATTCATATGAAAAATCTTTGGATTAAAGCAGTGTAATGGAATATGCACTGTAAAACAAAGACCTATCGCTTTGAAAATAAATTTCAGTAAATTAAGATGGTCGTTTCAGAAGTGAAGCCTCCGATGAGTTGTCGTCACTTCGATCGAATGCCTAAGACAGCTTGCCATTATATCTAACCAACTTTGCTAGGCTTAAAAGAACGAGATGATGTGAAGAGCAGACCTTGAGTGACTTTTTGCTATTTCTTAGCTAGCTATCTCGTAACCTGCCTCGTTGGATGTGTAATAAAGCTCAAAATTCATCTATATTGATTCAATCTATAATTCAAAAGGATTGTTTATGTGTATTTCAAACTTTAAAAATTAAACTAAAGAAATCAAAAGGAAGGAAGAGAAATAGGGAGAAAATTTAATTGTGTGTGAAAATCAAGAATCAAGAGAGAAGAGAAAAAGAAGAAAATATTTTGTTGACTAACACCGTCTAATAAAGTTTTTACACCTAGACAATCTTCGACAATGTTTACCATTTTTACTTTATTATTATTATTTTTTTGGTCACGTTAGCTAATCAAATTGCATTGAAGTTTAACTTTTTTGACATTTTCTACATTTTGACTCTGTGGCCATTTTTGATCAATCTACAATGGTATTGAAGATACTGTGAAATACAGTTATTTATAATTCATCACAGTGAAAGCTTTTTATTAAAATCGAGAAGTTTAAAATAGATGTCTCACGCTTTCTAATGTGTCTCTAAAACATCCGTCTAGGTGGCGTAACAAAAGACCATTGATTCGTTTAACACTTGTCTATATTGCATTGGATAATAATTTTTCTAAACATTTTGTATTTTGCTTATATGGTAATTTTTTTTTTATTATACTTCTTGTACATAAAAATAATACACAAGGGATCATATAAATTGATGTACAAGGAAAAGATTGAATAAGAAAATTGACTGTGTTTTAAAATGACAAATGATAGAATGACATGTAACATTATATAACTCATTATATAAAGCTCGATATACATGATGCAAGGTCCAATTTTTTTTGGCAATCCATGACACATTTGAGATGCTCTAGGTGTTGGTTATTCAACCAGGTTGAACCAAAGTTACACTTTGAAATACAACTTCCTTCTTTTCTCTGTGGGAATATATTTAGCTAGTTTGGTTTAGATAAAAATTAAATTTTTAATAGATTTTGATCAAAGTTGATGAAATACATGATTAAAAATTTGTAGATTCTATTAAATGTCTGATTAAAATAATTATTGACTTTGACTTGAATTTTAATCAAATTTTTAGTTGAACCAAAAAGGGGTTTTAATAGTTAAAGAAACTACACTTCATTTACTTTATTCATACTCCTTGTCATCTTATTAATAATCAAAACATCAAATTAATTTTACATGTTCAATGCATATGAAAAAGCATAATTATAGAACCACGGTTAAGCCTAATATTTCAATAATAAGATATGAAACACAACAAATTTGTAGACAACGAGGTTACAATGTAAGTCTTTTTGTTAGACTCTAATGCCGCATTAACTAATCTATTTAAAAGTTGATTCTTCAACAACTCTTAAGTGAGTCGAGATCAAGCTACTATTAAAAAATCTCGAACGTATAATTTTGTTGTGTTCACGGAAAATATGAAAAATGCAATAATTTCAGAATCCAAAGCAATTACAATTTTTACAATATTTTCTTTTATATTTGATAAACGTGTTGGTAAATTGTAATTTCTTTACATAAAATGAAGTCCTCGGAAATCACCATTGGCACATTTGTGACGTGAAAATTGGATGGAACAAGGCAAATGATTTGAGGAGAGAGATCGATCGAAGATGGGTCTTTTAAAAGCGTGGCAGTCAACGGTTGGTGGAACCCAACTCTACTTTACGTAGAAGACATCCAAAAATAAATTAAGACACCAAATAAAAGAAATATCCTAAAGGACAGTCTTTAGATTTTTGAGGAACATGTGGGCCCCCACTTCACCTTCAAATTTCTTTCAGCTAACGTGTTTTTATGTTGCCTTGTTCGAGTCCCATTCTTGGAAAAAAAAAAATAATAAATAAAAATTTTTTGAATAGTATATTGAT